GAAGTTCGTTTCGTTTTCTAGTAGTATTAAACCGATAAATCTCTTTAAAAATTTACATTTTGATTGGCTAATTATCACGGGAATTCACGGGTAGATCTACAAAAATTGACCAATCATATGAAAGTCTTCCTATGAATCCAAATCGGGATTAAATCGGGATTGATTTAGTAAGGACCCGATCCTAATCTGCCTAAAATCGTGACCGTCACTCACGTGCCTACGCCTTAACGAACGATACTTATAAACCGTTAAGTTTACTATTGGTGCTAAATTGGACTCTATATTACATTCACTCTCCCTACAATAGTAACATTATGATAAAAGTTGTAATGAAATCAGATGACATAATATGCCAAAATGCTAGTCACACAATATTTTATCAGGTGATTGACATTTTTGGGCGTGGCCCGTTAACTCTTAAAAAAACCGCGAGCTGGCCACATTAGACTCAAGTACTTGGTAGTTTATAATTAATAATATAAGTGCTTAGCAGGGTCCGGAATGGGTCACACTACTGGTTTTTCAGGCTTTTTTTTTTTTTGCTCGTATGGATTAGATTGTAACAACTCTCAATCATATATAGATTATATTGTACCAACTTTCTACTGTATGTGGGTTAGATAAACCATACTATATCTACTGTCCCCTGTTCCTAATAGAAATATTCCACACGACATGACGATATTACAATAAATTAATAATATATGTTGAAATCTAGTTAAATTGAGATAACTTTGACGCACATAACAAATCTAAAAGCCACGACAATACAAAGTAAGGCATTGTGTTTAATCAATGACCAGTCAAGGAAATTAAATCTATCATAAATAATGTTATATGAGTATATCTGAATTAAACCTGCAACTGCATCCTGTGCAATGCGACCCTTGTTGCAATTCAATCGTATTTTTAATCAGTATTTTAGGTTCACACCAAATCATCAATGCAGCACTAATACAAAATCATAAGTTGAAAATTACGAGGGTCAATCAGCTGATTAAATACCGAGAATCGCATACTCCCGTATAGCTCACGAGGAAGATACGGAATACCACTTTTCACATATAACCTTTTTTTGCATTTTTCGGGGACTTCAACAAAGTTATATGAAACATTCATCCAATCGGATGCTCAGAATTGCACACTCCACGCGAATATAGAAATTTTAAGTCACATGAAACGTCCATACAATCATATCTAAGATTTTGTACACATCAATTAACGTTAACTCTTCGGTAAACCATACACTTCGTACTTTGTACTATGTTCCTGGTATGTACGCAGATATAGAAATCTTCAAAGTCATGAGATTTAATCAACCAATCAATGCTCAGGTTTTGCCATCAATAAACCATACACTGTGTACAAACCACAAAAAATCTTGCATTTAAAGAAGTATTGTATTTAAAAGATAAAAATCTATAAGAATGGGAACTAGAATTGATAGAACAGTTAATGATTTTGAAGATTTGAATGATTTTAAAGTTTGTTGGGTCCTCATAAACTGGATTACATCGAAAATCACCTTCCGACATTTCCGATCGGGCTAAAATTAAACCCGTGTATTAGCTCGTGTTTATATGTAAATCCCTTTCGTATTTATAGATTCAATAGTTTATATTCGATAAACTATTGAATCGATAAAGGCAAAGGAGGTTTGCATATAACCATTAACTATTACACGTGTTTAATTTTGTCCGAAGTAGCTCGATCGGAAATGTCAGAAGGTGATTTTTAAGGCAAAGACCCCATATCTATAGGGTTTCAATACCTCGCTGGGGTTAAAAATACCCAACTTTGCCACAAACTATACCAAATAAGAAATATATAAAATAACGATGGGATAAAATAAATATGACACTAACTAAAAAGAAAGTTTTGTGCGTAACAACGTACATCATCGAACATGGCTGTAAACCATACCCTTCGTTTCACTTCCGTGAAATTCCTTTCCAGGTATATATAATTTTTAAAACTGTAGAATTAAAAATAATTAAGACAACTTAGTAATACGATAAAGCTTTCGCATAATAACAAATATTCTCAAGCTCAAGCTTGAAGTACTTTTTCATAAATATGAAATAAATAAAATGGATCAACTCATTTTATACCATTTTAATAAATATAATATCAATGAAATAGTTATTTATCTTTATTATTTTTCAATATTTTTATAGATCTTATCCAATTGTTGTACTTCAACTACATAATCTCTTAAAAATAATTCTAAATTATTAATTTTTTTGTCTAATCGTACAACGCGATTTTCACCATCAATATTATTGAATGAGCCTTGAACTAAAGGAATTGTGGATAAATGTTCTGTTAATTTTTTTTGATTTAGTTTATTAAAATGACCAAATTTTTGAATTAATCCAAAAGGCTGAATCGAGTCATCACCTATTTTTAAAATATAAAATAAAATTTAGATTTATGAATAATTAGCAATAATACCCTGATCCGTTGAATAACAGAAACAAAGTTTCTGTTAATGACATAAGGCTTAGGATATTATTCAATACTCCCATGATCTTTAAATAATGGTTGGGAGATATATTTGTAATAATTATAGTTGACAAGTTGACTTTAATTTATATTGTGTCACTGATGGGATTTTTACCAACTATAAATATATTTGATTGTAATGAAACATACCAAAAAGTAATTTATAAGCAATTGTAGCAATGGACCATACACCACCAAGTAAACCAAGAGAACTTAAAATCTTTATGAAATTATGAGTTACTTATATATTTCAGTATTAATATAAATTAAATTACTATAGAATAACACTCACTGTATGCGTCCTTTAGAATTATTTGAAGTTGATGAGACAATAATAAAGCAAATCTAAATTAATTATTTAATAAAGTTTTACCTTTGTTCTGTTTCGATGATAATTGTATCATAGTCTGCCAAAATACCAAGAGTAAAAAAGTCCGATCCATTTTGATTTGTTTGCGTTCTTCTTGAACCTAGAATTAATATAAATTATTATTATTAACATAACTATATTTATATATGTTTATAATTTTTAGAGCTGTCGGATGAATCTAGAATATCATTGATATAATTACTTTTTCTAGAATTTAAGTAAGATATTATTTCATAATCTGGCTGGAACCCCATAGTGGCTTTCCAGCCTGGTATTATAAATTTTTTGACATATCGTTCTAAAAAGATACTAGTACTCTTTTATATGAAAATAAATTACAAATGTTTGAGATTATCTGAAATAACAAAAAATATTTGCTTTAATTTTCAATGTAAATGCATACTTCACTAGGTAATATTTGATAAGTGTTAGTCATTGAAATTGATTGTAAAAATGTCGAAGAAATAGTCTCTTTAGAGTAAATATTTTCTATATGTTATAAAAAAAAACTTAGTTTTATGAAAGAATAAAGAAGTTATTGTTTTTCATAAATATACCCGAATCAGAAACTTCCAAAAATAAACTTGGATTAGTATTTTGATCCAAAAATCTAATAGCAAAGCTGATTATCTGTTCTCCACGATTTCCATATATATCATATCCAAATAGTGAATATTGTGTGGCATTATTGTAAGCCAAAACAAGTTTGTATCCATATGCAGGTGGAATTGAGAAATTTACATAGTAGTAAGGTCCACTTTTAATTAATGATTCACTAATATATGAGTTGCATTCATCAGATGAAGTAGAAGCCGGGTTTGTGGCATTTACATCTGTTTTATAAAATAAATGGTTAAAATTTTTATGAAACATATTCATATATATTAACTTATGTTTTTAAATCCTAAAAAAAAATTTATTTATACCAATATTTACAAAACCGCATGTAACCATAAACAAATTTTCAGAAAAGAAGTTGACTTCTATTGAAGAAATTTTATTTATTTTCTTTTAAAAATTAACATAAAAAACAAGTAATGAAAGTAGGTTCTTTTACTTGGCACAGCCATAGGTTCTTGAATAGAAAGAAGACTAACAACAGGTTTATCATTGACAATGTTAAAAGTTAAATTAATTATGAATATAAGTATGCAGATTAATAAAATTAGCATTGTTATAATCCTCAAAATATGAATTGATAAGGGCTCGGTCTTGCGATATTTTTGAAAAGCTTCTCCCAAAATCATTTTGATTAAATTTAAAAGATTGTAATTAACCGTGTTTAAATATATATATGAATAAATTGTATTTAGTGTTTGTTAAAGTTACAAATAGACATATTTATATTCCTTATGTTATAGTAAAAAGGTTTTTGGCGTAAGATAATTACAAAGAAAACCTGAAACAGATCATAATTGTTTCAACCTAAAGATTTCCGAATTTGAATTAACCGTATTTAAATATATATATGTGAATAAATTATATTTAGAGTTTGTAAAAGTTGCACATAGATTTATTTTTTATTCCTTATTTTACTATTTTATACATAAAAATGTGTACTTTGTATGGCATAAATTGTTCTATTTATAGAGAAAACCTGAAACAGATCATAGTTAAGTTTTTGGAATAGATTACCGAATTTGAATTATTGTATCACGTGTTGGTGAGAAATTACTCGTCATCATTTCACATCGTAGGCTACAAATACAACTCTTATTTCTTAGCTCTTAAGATTTGGTCTACTTTTCT